ACTCTACCGCTAGAACATGGAAATATACACTGTTTTTTTTTTTTTTTTTTTTTTTTTTTGGTCTGTGTGCGAAAACTTAGCAACTGCTGGGGCATTTGCAAAGTGGGCAGCGTCCGGTAGGGGCACATTGCAAAGATGCGATCCAACTGATTGCTCGGGAGTTTTGCAAGTCATCTTCGTTCGCTGCAGCGTTGCTGCGGTAGGTCCACTTGTAACTTTTAAATATATAAACATCTTGATTTTGCTGCCCTCGGATTTCGATGCACCAACTTTTGGCGGATGTCCCACAAACGTCCCACAGACGTCCCACAGGTGTCGCCGTGGGACGCTTTACCTTACTTGGTTTCTACGGTAGTGGAGCCATTCTCCTGGACAGGACAGCCTTTCAGGCCTTTTTTATTGTCATTGTCATTGATTATAGCATTACGGGAAACCGCCGTAGCAGCCAATAAGCTAAGAGTGAAGTTCCGCTGACATGATTCGGAGTAGTAGCTTCTGAAGTTGGGACACTGGACCCGGTTTCCAGTACAAGCCTATCTGGCGCCAGTCCGTCCGGGTTGTTTGTGGAGGATTCCCGGCCTCCGGATACCAAATCACCAGTACTTGGCCCAACTATAGGCCGCGGAAAAAAAAAGGAGTAGAAACGTTTTTAGTCGGATGAATTTGAGCGCTCCTGTAGTACGGGTCTGATCCGACACTACATACGGTAGGTAAAAAAATGCAATATCGCGGATCCCACAGTGTTTCGAAGTCGTCGGCGGTCTCGTGAACTTAGGACGCGAGTAGAAACGTTTGTCGTCGTGGCGGGCTGGGAATGAACGGCGCCGAAAAAGATGTAAGGAAAATGGCCGGAAATGCAAGAGAGCTCGACCCGTACCCTGCCGCAAAAAAGAAGGGGTACTTTTTTTTTTTTTTTTTTTTTTTTTTGTCCATTTGGGTGGGGCGGTTTGTCCGTGGTCCGGTTCGCTGTGTGGCACAGCAGCCCCCCGCGGGTGTCCCGAATTGCAGTTTTTGGGAATGTGGGAGGTTTCGGGAATGTGCGACCAGTCCCGTTCGAAAAACGACACTTTGTCGTCAACGCGTCGACGAACCGGCCTTCGGCCTGTCCCCAATCGCCCTTGGCTGTACAAGCCCCCAAACCGGCTACCCCGACACCCCCACCCCCGTACGGACATGTACTGCAAACGGTACCTCCCCCAGTCGCCGACTCCCTGCATTTCCACCGGCGACGGCTTGCAAAAGAGAGAGAGAGAGAGAGAGAGAGAGAGAGAGAGAGAGAGAGAGAGAGAGAGAGAGAGAGAGAGAGAGAGAGAGAGAGAGAGACTTCGACGAGGGGAGCACAAGCGTGAAAAAAAAATAAAAAAAATCAGACACGGCGCGATGGCACGTCACGAAGTGCAACGGCTTTCAGCTTCCTCTGCGCGATGGCACGTCACGAAATGCAACCAAGTGCCACCATGACGAAGGCCATTCCAGGCGGTAGCAGGCGGTCATCTTGCACGTCGAGGCGAAGCGGGTGGACGAAGTGCCACGTCGACGAAGGCCATCGCCGCCACAGCTCAGAGGTGTACGCGGGCAGAGGGTAGTCGGCGCGTGGGGGGATTTGCCCGTTTGGGAAAACAGTCAAGTGCCCCCCCGACGGCCCTGTGTGCCAGTCCATGGCGCGTGGGGGGGAATTGCCCGTTCGGGAAAACCGTGAGAATTCCCCATACCGCTGGGCCCAGTGCGGTCCTGTGTGGCAGTCCATGTCACACAAACTGCAACTGTCCGACGTGGTTCGGTCCCCGTAGTGTCCGTGCCAGTAGTCCGTTTACCATGCACCAATGAAACCCGCCCAACATAAACCGCCTAAACACACGTCAATGATGCGAACGATACGGGCCAGTGGGGTCCCCGTTTTCGTTTACGGCCAGAATGGACCGGCCCCACCTTTTTCGTTTCTTTTAATACGTTTCCTAAAATCGTGGCGCACCAGCAGAAGGTGCAATACCTGCTACAGCAGTAGCATCAGGACCGAGCTTCTCCGATGAGCCAGTCACTGTGCCTCCCCCCTCCGGTCCCCTGCCCCCATGAACATCAGCAGTCTCTGCTCAATGCCATTGGGGGGAAACCCCCCGGCATATCTCTACCTTCTTCCCCCGAATACAACGTACGGTCATTATAGCTGTATTTGAGGCATCTTTCAGTCTATACAGCTATAATGACCATACGTTGTATTGGGGGAAGAAGGTAGGTGGCGGGCGTCAAGCTTGCGCAGGAAGGAAGGTACATGAGGCCAATGGGAATTGAACCCACCACCTCCTGAATGCCACTTGCCTGCCTCACCAACTGAGCCACGTAGGCCGCTGGATAATTCTGAATTTCCTGGGGTCGGTCAGCTCAATGATTCCGCCCCCCCTCCTCCTCCCCCCCCAAGACCTACCATGGGCATGGGCAATCTAAAGGGGTCATGCTTGTTTTGTCGTGCGACCAATTTGCTCTGCTTTGGGCGGTGGGGACATGAAAGAGTGAGGGACCGTAGAAACTACGGTAGGTAGGGATCCCAACAAAAAAAGGCGGGAGGTGCGTACGGGTGCAGAAGGTGGGCAAGCGTGGGAGGAAGGGGTGGTGTATTTCTACACCCACACCCTCACGCTTGCTCTTACGCTTACGCATCGGCACGCTGCCACGTGCAGGATCACGACCAGTGACAGACGCCAACCTGAACGTGGTCAAAAGGTAAGTCAGCGGTCATTCTCGTGTATGTAGTCCTATTACTACGTAGCTATTAGACATTTTCTCTTCTCTTATTGTTTTTTTTTTTTTGAAAATTTGGACCGTTTATCGATTGATGCCTGTCATCCTTTCAGGAAGACGCCATGCTGATCTATACTCTCTGAATCGTTCCGATGTTAAGGTATGTCCCGAAGGACTGTTTGCTCTTCTCTCTTCTCTCTCTTCTGCTCCCTGACGTCTTCCCTCCGCCCAAGTCGTCCTCTTCCTCGGCTATTGTCTCTCCTCCTGCCTTCTCCTTCCTCCTGCACTCCCCTTTTTTTTTTTTTTTTTTTTTTTTTTTTGTACTCCCTTCGGACCTTGCTCCACCAGTCACCAAATGTGCAAAATGAGAATGAATGTTCAGCTAGAACATGGAAAGATGCACCGTCATAATTTTTGTCTTTGGTCCATGCGGTGAGTGGTGCAGCGAGACCCTTTGTCTATCTATTCTCTCCTCCTCCCCTTCCTCTCTCTCCCTCTTTTCTGCCCAGCTTGTACGCCTTCTGCCCCACCTGCTCCTCGCCCTTCGCTTCTTTGTTGTCATATGAACACACGGATGTGTTTGTGCGTGCACACACACACACACACAGAGAGAGAGAGAGAGAGAGAGAGAGAGAGAGAGAGAGAGAGAGAGAGAGAGAGAGAGAGAGA